TAATATATCAATGCTTTATTGTCTATTTTAAAAACAGTAGATGTCTTTCTTTTTCATTTTTAGTTCTATCCCTTTTGTTAAAGCATGCTATGTGCTTTAAATGAATTCAAGGTAGCTTAATATAATTTTGATTATTTTTATTTTAGTATTTTTGTAGCGTTTAACTGTATTCATATTTTTATGAATAATCATATGAAAATTAGGTTGTTGTCATGTTTAGTTTTTATGTGTTTGGTCATACGAAAATCAAAAACCTATTTGATATAATTTTTAGTGTTCAGTCATTTAAAATATTAATATATTATAACCATAATTGATCTTTATATGTGTTTGGTTAAAAAAAAATCAAGTTCCATGCATCACCTTATTACATTTTGTTTGTGATTACTCTATTTTTATAATTCATTTTTAGTTAAGTTGTTATAATGAAAATATATCATCAAAAATAATGAATTCGTAAAATTATTTAAAATGAATCAGTAGTAAGAAAGTTATTTATTGTTACTAAAAAGTGAGAAGTAAGTAATTTGAAAAAAAATAAAATAAATAACAAATAGGAATAAATTTTCTCTTAGTTGATGTAAAGATAAATATTTAGTTCCTTTTATTATTTTATTAAAAAGGTTATATGTATAGTTATGTAATTAATTGTTTTGTGCAGAAAATCATAATTTAATATTATATACATATTTCTTTTCTGGAAAATTTTGTTAATATAGCTGCATATTCAAAGTAAGAAAAAACTTGAAATTGGCTGCTGGATTTCGTCATGCAATGAGACCATTAAAAGAGAGAAACAAGACTCTAAAATATATATTTAATATTGAATATCATATATTTGAAATGAAATAAAATAAAAATCTTTTTAATGATTGTTGCTTTTTCATGTCTATTAAAACATGTATTAATACAATATATTTTCATAAAAGATTATTCATACAATAGAGATTTTAAAACATAATTTTTATAAAACACATATATTTTTGTGGCTACAAGGATCAAAACAGGAAAAAATTTCATAAGGTATTAATAGTTTTATTACCTCTAAATTAGATGATAAAATGATGATATATAATGTTTTCTATTACCTATACAACTAAGATTATTTGCAATTCACTTATAGATTCATCTATAAATTTTGTTTTAAAATAGAGAAATTCTATTACCAAAGTATATAAATGATAAAAGCACATAAAAATCGAGACCTTACAATGACAACACAAACATTACTAAATTACAATTGAAACTTCATAATATGTTTGAGTAAGAAGAATAAAAGCAAATTAATAAAGACAAAACTAAGAGTTTAATAAAGTATATTCCATTATCATATACTTGATTGGCTTGATTCACCTTTCATATTCTTTGTATTTCACTCTAATTTACATTTCTTTAGATTGCGTTTAATTTGAACTTTCGGGTTTCGCTTATTTTCTCTACGTATATGTGCCATGATTATTGAATTGAAGTTTAACCAAAACTTATGTAAAAAACCGAATTTTGATTCCTAAAATGAATTCGACACACCATATATAAAAACATTCAACTTCAATAAAAAAAAGTTTCTTATTTTTATCTTTTTTATTAAACTTATAAAACATTAATCAAAACTCGTGCAAAGCACGGGTCCAGTTAGTTATACTTATAGGACTTTCTATGTGAATCTCTTTATAGGGATACAATCTTACATGGAATTTTATAGAAAGAAACTTTTGTTTAATTTTATTCATACATATAACCATAACCGGGCCTTACAAGTAAGCTGAAGAAACTACTATTCCGTTAGCCCATTGGTTTCCCAAATTACTAATTATTAATAGTCAAAGTCTAATCTCACAAACTACTAGTACACTGGCCCATAGGTTTCCCTTTGTCAAGTAGTCATATGCAAACATACTTTTTTTCTTTTGAAAAGAATGCGACCATAATTTTAAAATATAAACTAGATTTTTGATCCGCGTTTAAAAAGTGCGGGTACTATTTTTGTTGTTTTATCTACAGATGGATCGATAAGTCTTTTACTTTGATGATATAAAATGTCATAGAATCAAGATCAAATTATTATGCGGGGATGAAGAAATTTTTGTTTTATAATATCTTAGACAATTTTTTATGTTTCTAAATAAGTTAACAATGATTGTACCTAAAATATGTATTGGAGGAATATTGTATATTTAACAATTAAATGGTCTGATTTTTTTTTTAGTTTTGTGATTAATTTGTATAATCATTTAGTTATAAGATTTCAATCGCTCAGTCCGACCCGTCCCATACGACCTGCAACGGGTTGAGTCATTTTTCTACTCAAAAATTTGACCGTTTGACCCGAAAAAAAAATATTTTTGCAAGTTTTTGTTATAAAATTTAGAAGTAAATCATTCCACTAATGAAACTCATTAGTATATAATTTTTAGACTCAAAAACAAAAGACCATATTACCATTAATGAAAATAAAAATTAATTCATATCTTTAAGGCTATAATTGAAAAACATAAAAAAATTATTAAACATAATGTTTTTGTTTTAATGGTATTGATTCCATCAATTTCAAGGTATGTAAAATCAAATAAATTAAATACTTTCTAAAAAATACAAGTAAACTTATTTCTAGTTCTGATTTAAATTCTAACCCAGTCTATAAATATCCTACCATCCACAATTTGTCTGAAACTCTTTCATGGATCAAACAAATAAAATTTCACAAGGATATGTATTATCACCTGCAATAAATCTAGCTTAATCAGCTTGGAAAAGTGGTTCACTGGTTCGTAAGTATCGGTGAAAAAAGAGAAACTGTCATATGATAGTTCTGCAAAACATTAAAAAGAATCTGCTCAAATTTGAATTTTGTGGGTAAAAGTTATTAGAGATGAACAGAAAATAGGCAAAAGAAAAGACAAGATAAAAAAGAATAACAATAAGAAGTTGAGAAAATAATCCGCAATAAGAAAAAAGAAGAGACAAAGATTATATATTGAAGAATCATTTTCATATTTCACCTGTCAAATGTGATGCCTACATTTGCATGCCTCTTCTGCTCCCACCTCAATCATTAATTTCTAACTTTCTATTGTAGCCCCCTTCTTTCCTTAACCAGTCCAACCGAATAGTTTTATTTTGAAACTAAAACCGAATAGCTTTTTTCTAAAACCGAATTGCTTTGCTCAGTCAGTTTTTATATCCTTTTTCTTAGTTGATTTTTATGCTGCTTTGAACCCAAAAAAAAAGTAATCGGTATTTATATTCATTAAACCCATTAAAAAAGTTAGCAACCACGGATTTATCTACATATCAACTCTGAGTTTATATTTGGTTTTAGCTTGAATTAGTTTAATGAAATATATAGTATATAGTTTTTGGATCGGTTTCAACTCAACTAGTTTCCAGCGATCATCTTAAATTCTTAATATCCTAAGCATTCATATGCCCCAAGTCAGCATATGACTAAACTTATTTGAAAAATGCATGAAAGTTCAATTTGGATACATCGTCCATAAGTTCATTCCTCAAGAGACTCGCTTATTCTAGGAAGAGTAGATAAAGTGATAGCTAGTCATCTTCATCACATGTACACCGATGATGAATGTTACATTCACATCACATGGACATGAATATATATATATATATATATATATATATATATAGATTCTCTTCATTTTGAAGCCACTTGATCTCACATAAAATTAATTTTCCTCACTATAACCAAACAAAAGAAGACCATGTTATTGAAAACAACTGTACTCTATATACACACACACCCATATTATGTTATAACTCCATCACTCTATCCAATCTTCACATTCTGCCAACCCCCTCAACATGTGCCACCATCGCTCCTTTGGTCCATCCATCTCAATTTCAAATGTTGGCCAACAACATTTTTCGTTGGTCCAGGCTTAAAACTTTCATTTTCACAGACATATATGTAAAGCACTTCACTACTTTGTACACATAAAAACTGTCAAAATGAAATGAAGAAGTCTCTTCTTAATTCTTATATATTGTTTGATGAACCGTCTTATAAGGAATTCATCCAAATGGGAGACGAAATTACGTAATAAGATGATAGAATCTTTAAAATATGAGTGTGGTCCACTACTTTTCATTTTAATGTATTAACCAACTAAAGTGAATATTAAATCGTTTTCTATTAAAATTATTTAAAAAGTGTTTTATTTACTATCATGCTTTTAACATTTCATTGATGTGAACACTATTATATTAGGTGTAATGGCATGTGGTTTTAACAACTCATAATATATCATGTATCCACCATTCCAAAATGTGTGCCAATTTTGTCAACGTATAAATAGCGTGTACGAATGATACTACTGCAACCTAAAAATCAGAGTTATTACGACGAGCTAAAATTAAAGAAAACAGCAAATTAAACACAAATATATTTTGAACCACAATAATTCCAAGATAGCAAAATACTTATATATGGTGACCAGCATCTTACATTTCATTTATTTACTTTTGCATTTGGTGACAATCATTAAGAAGTTAATTAAATCAATACTTTTAATAAGCTATCCAACAGTATAAAATTAATCATGGCACAGACACACACACATATAAATATATATATCTGAAATAAAAGAAATTTGAAAAAGTAAATAAAAGAATTTGAATTCAAAATACTGAAAAGGAAATACCATATTTAAAGTAAATAAAATATACAAAATAGCAGAAAATGCCAAGTGAGTTAGATTCCTATAAATGGATTACACCCAAGAAAAAACAAAAAATGCTATATTGCAAGACTTTTTAAACACAGGGCAAGCCGTCAATATATAATTTATACATGATTAACAACCTCATACTCATCTCTCTGTATTCCAGTTTTTGTAAAATATATATA